TTTTTTCACAATATTCTCATCGACATATAGGCTCTATTCCGAATTCAACTAGTCAGTACTGTCATCAAATCCACTGACTCTGCTGAAAATCTGTGTTCCAAAATCTAGAATCGAGAATACAGTGCTGTAATTCGAAAAACGTTTTCATGGTTTCCATCACTATCAGTATTCAGTAATCAGCAGCAGTTGATCATCAGCTGGTGGAATGCATTGTTAGCGTCAATCATTTTTATAACAGGCATTTTCTGATATAAAATATAATAATAATAATTAATTATTGATAGACAAGACACGATGTTCGAAGAACTGTAGAATAGTACCTCTGCTCACGAGTAACTGTCACTTTCAATGAATTGTTTTGAGTTCGGCATGCAAAATCAGCAGATTCAGTACTGTCAGTTGAATTCGGAATATAGCCTGAGTCGAATAAGAGTCGGTTCGTTTCTACCCTAACGGAGGAAGTTGAGAACTCGAACATATCAAGTTTTATACACTCCTTGGGTTTTTCTCTCCTCGTCTCCGTTAACACACACATATATATATATATATATATATATATATATATATACCACATGAGAACGAATACTCAGTATCAAGAATGAATTCCTTCATTCAAATGAAAACAGGAGCAGATTAGTTAACGAAACGTCCAAAGATGAAAAAATTGTATTATTCTTCAATACCCTGTCTTCTTCTTTTACAATTATGTTAGAACAAAGTGTCCTCGACTAGCAATCATCTATATACAGTTGAACATATTTGATCTGATCTGATACTGATCCCATCAACACTGATGATTCGGAGTTTCGAGGCATCATAATCAACTTTCCTCAACTTTTTCAAGCTATTTGATCGCTGATAGGGTAAAAGGATGAATTCTTCGCTTACGTGATGGGGGTCTTCTTTCACTAGAGGCTCGTCGCGTTGTAATTTTTTGATATAAAAGAAAATAGTATAGTGTTCAACAAGTGGGAGAAGTGCTTTTCTCCACATGTTGCACACTATACTTTTTCTACAACTGCACTCATTCAAAGAATCCGAGTAATGTAACTTATTGGTATTCATTTCATAATGTGGCACTATGCCACATTGAATATTGTGATCAAAGAGTACACACCTTTCCTAGTTCCTCGAAGTATTACAAAAAAGTACACTTTCCGGAAAAGATTTCTGTATTTTTTCAGATTCCATAAATTTTTCGTACCAATATGCCAATTCGTACTTTTTTCTTGAAATTTCCGGAAACAAATCCAACTTTCGCAACTTTTTCCATTATCTCTGTCTCTGGCGGTGTATTTATCAAAATCGTCACATCTCGGTATACACATCATATTATTCATAATGAATTGTTGGAACAATATTTGATGGAAAATGCGATTTCTATCGAGAGCACGAATGAGAACTACCCTGAAAAATTCAAATAACTTCTTCTGACAGTTGTGACAACTATTCAAAGCTGAATAGCAGCCAAGTTTTGGTCGATTCTTGTTGATTCTCCATGGAAATGTATGTGGTGTTGGCAAAGTGCCGTGAGAAAAAATATTTCTCACAGTATGGGCAATACATGGTTTTGAAACTAAGGAATCTATGAGGAATGCGCTACTTTTTATAGCAGTAGTAGAAAAATATAATTCCGTCACTCCAGGGAATAAGTTCTAGTGTATTATCGCTCACATTTCTCAAATAATTGAGTTGAAGAATTCCATAAAAATATAACATATCATTGAGCTCAGTGAACTTTCGTTTCACTACCCTTGCAGTCAAGAATGAACAGTTCTTCTTAGTTTCAAATGATATTAATGTCATATTGAAATCACCACTACGTCATACGGATTGTTCGTGAAACAAACTATAGAACGTCATCATCTCCAGGCGGTAGGTATATGAGCAACCTATATTTAATTTACCTCTATTAGTTGTATCAATTGTTTCCTATATTATCTTCGGCATCAGTTTGCCACTCAGGGTGTTCCACTACTTGCAACTTCCTCCGTGTGTGGCAATCAAATCACTTCCACTGATCAATGGAGCTCGTGTAGTATATAGTAAATGTCATTGATGCCATCATAATATGTTGAAGGAAACCGTAACAGGATCGATGCCATTGGGAAATCTATGAATCACGATATTATGCACAATTCATGTAGGCTATTCTCAACCTTATAGTCCATTGTAATGTGTGAAAAGCCACCTCCATAATACCTGTGAAGATATTATGCATAAATGAAAATGGTAAGCTCATACCTTGTCTACAACCTGCTGAGTGATTGAATCCTGCCGTTTGATAGTATGAATGTGTGACCCATATAATTATATTCACGATATCAATATCTCACTTTCAATAATACTCATTTATACACCAAGGTAGTGAAGAATATCATTATTACTCGGGGACCAAGATTATATCCCGAGGCTTCAGCCGAGGGGTAAAAGGTCCTGTGGTAACGATATTCTTCACTACCAAGGTTTATTTTAATCTTTTTTCACCACTATGGCGATATATTACTTCAATCATCTTAGTTTTGTGATGCCAAAATATGGACCTGTTTTGACTATGGATACCATGACCATGACAGCATAAATGACAAGTCGTTATTGATAAATACCTACTAGATTCGAGTGCCAATCCTGCGCATTTCTGATTAGAAGGGTCGGGTTGATTATAACAGACTGAGGTGGCTTTGATCGACTATAGTGGTTCATAATATGACGAAAACTACCTTGTAACCTAGAAAAGACGACTTATAACAATTTCCTCTTATAGCACAAAAAAAGTTTGAAGAGTTTGTCGAGTTTGAAAGCTGTTCCTGATGAACAGAATAATATTCAAAAGAATTTAGTATAATTCAAACCACAAAAAGGTTCCAGAGGGGCACAGGTTTATCATTATTGAACTTCATTCACTGATTATTTCAATGATGAGTTCTTGCACCGATGACATTCAATGAATTTGATGTTCAATCGAGTTGACGAAGTTATATCCGGAAATATCCAGATAATGAAAATCATTTCTTTCGGGGTTGATAGAGGAATTGGAAGAAATATATTCGTCACGTGAGAAGTAGGAAGACACTGATATTTCGTTATCATATGGAAACTTCCTATTTTATCCAAGATTCCATCGTTCGAATGAATTCATGATGAATCTTGGTTGGTTCAATTACCAAAACGTTGGTTTCACTTTTCAATAACAGATTCTCCTTGAACTACCGTGAAATAATCCGATGCGGACAAATTTCCTAGAGAATTGATAATGAGAAATAACTTTCCAACTGAACATGTATGACTATTTACTTCTTCATAGATTCACATGCGGATTCAATTTGAATATATTTCACGTACTTCAGATTTTTGATGACAAATTCAATCAGGGCTCTTGAAATTCATTATTCATACATCAGGTACGTTATGATGCCTTGAAGTTATGTACTCCATGGATAATTGACTATAAGTGGATATTCTGCAGGTCCATGATACTGAACAATTAGTTATGATGGTTCTGCAAAAATTCTCAATGTTTTTATCTCAAACATGCGCATGATATGGCATTCCACAAATCGGTAATTACCTATTAGTTGATTTATGACTCCACCGCTCTGCTGGTAATATGTTTATTAATTTCGAACTGAAAGATGTAAATTGCTTAGTCATAACGATTATAAGGACATAAATTCTGAGAATGATTTGCAATTCATCGCTTTTCAGGAACTTGAATTTCCAAACAGATGCAATAAATGTAAAGTATATTAAATTTCACTCTCGACTCAAGTCAAGACTCAAGTCTTGCAAACACATCATTATGTAGGTAAGGCTTAGAGACCTGCTTGTAAAATACGTGTAAAATTTCAATTTGAAAATTATCGAACTCCAATGTTTGGAAATATAGAGTTAGTTGAATCGTTAATCAATTCAATGTCCTTCGAAAGTTTCCTGGTGACGCTGAAGTTGAAATAAGACAATGTTGCGCGCTCATCAGACGAACAAATATAGCAAATATATCATATTGGACATACTACGTTCAGAACAATGAGAATATCGGTTTCATCATGAACTGATTACTGTCTATATGTTGATCGAGGAGGTGTTACATCCATTTTACTTGATTATTTGGGATTTTCTTTCCTCGTTTCTTCAAAATAAAAACATGAGTATTATTTCAATATATGTGTGTAGTGAGACAAATCAGATGATTTGCTCCAAAATGTCACTGCGTTTAACATTTTTCTTTATCAGGGAGCCTAAAATGATAATACAATAGCTGGTCAGTAACACTTTGTTTGGAAAAGTGTTTGAAGAGAGTTTTGTAATTATAATACGGTTCTATTCAGAATTGGCACCTGTGAGATTTAGAAGTCGTAGAAAATGAGTTTTTCATAAAAAATTGTTGAATTAAAAATGGCGGATCCCATATGACAGACGAGTTCTGTAATTATGATCCGAACTCATTCAGAATTCGTATCTGTGGTTCTCTATGTTGAAGATCATGATTTACGTATTGAAATTCAGAGATTCAAGATGGCAGATCCAATATGGCGGACGAGTTTTGTAATCATGATCTGATTCTATTAGAAATCAGGTTTCAAGGATTTTGGGGTCGAAGATCTTCTGAAGAAATTGGGTACCTACTTAAGAATTTTGTGTTTTGTTTTTAAAGCTATTATCACTAGGCTATAGTCACCAGGGTATCACGATAGGATTATTGTTACGAGGATATCGATCCAGAATTGTTTTCAGTGCTGTTCGTGCTCACTGCTCTTAGATTGTAACTGCAGGATTGTCGCAGCAGAGCTGTTGGTACTGGGCTGTTGGTGCTCCAGCTGCTGGGTAGTAAATTGATACTAACTGCTGCTGCTGGGTAGTAAGATGATACTAACCCTGATGTAGAGACTCGTTCTCCACTGTGTGGTACCTTACTAAGAACGTGATAACTCTATCATATCACTCGACCCTCACATATTTATATTTTGTGCTCTCTCTGATAGTACTTCCTGTAAACTGAGATGATCACCAAGGTAAGAGTACAGGAATTGCCCTCTGAGATAGTAGATATTCTGGAAAGCATAATTTCCATATAAATGTCCAGACTGCTACCAACTAGGTGACTTATAAATCGGACTTATGAACGGAAATATCGAGTTTCAACTTATTAGTGAAATCGTTATAATTGTGAAATTACAGATCCAGGGCCAGTAAATAAATATTTGTCATCAATATTGAATACCACCAAATTCCACCAAGCAACCTTACTCGTTCGATGTTCGTGGAACATCGTGCGTAACTAGGGATGATATAGGGATAGGAGGTATAGTTGTTGATTTATTTTTTTGAACTTTCGGAGGTCAAAAGTACTTGGGAATACTTCCATTGGCAGAGAATTTCAAAGCTTCGCTGCCTCAGAATATACTGATTAAGCAGGTGCTAATCAGTTCACCTATTCTATGTTGTGTATTTATCAACACACTTCTACTATTTTATTTTCAACTTCTTTTCAGTTTGGCTGTCTTTCAAAAGCGTGTTTCTTCAGTTTTCTTAAATATTATTATTCGCAGTTCATTTGAGCACACGGATTTCAGTATTCCGATGGGCTTTCATCAATGTTTTTGATATAATCTACAGTTAACACGGCATCAATTCTTGAATGGTGATCCAATAACTTGGTAGATTTAAATTTTCAATGCAAACAAAACACAAGCATGCCTTTTCTCTAGAAAAGCCGATCTCACTGTGCCCAACATAAGCTTGTCAGGAGAAACCATACCTTTGAAGACATCCATTTCGATGCTTGGTATTACTTTCAGCAATAACCTTTCTTGGGAAAATCACGTGAGATCAATTGCTGAGAGTGCATCCCAAAAACTTGGTTTTCTGTTTCGTGCCAGGAGCTATCCAGTCAGCTGCTTATGATCTATGAGGCACAGATCTGACCTGTCCTGGAATACTGCTCCCATATTTGGAGTGCAGCACTCAAACATACTCTGAAACTGTTGGATTCTGTCCAAAAAAGGGCAATTCGTCTCGTGGGTGATGCCCTGCTCACAAACTCACTCACTCCTCTGGAACACCATGAAAAAGTTGGCGATTTGGCTCTTTTTCATAGATATTTTCATGGACGATGCTCTTCTGAAATATCAACAATTATTTCTTCCTTGGCAGTCCTTGCGAGATTGACCCGTCGAGAACATCTCTTTCCAAAAACTCGTTCATCCAACGAACAGCGAGGCTCTGGAACATATTGCCAAGGAAGGTGTTCCATGAGGCATATAACCTCCAGAAATTCGAAAAAAACACCAATTTCTATACCTTATTTTCCTTGGTTCTCACGATGTTCTCTTAACATTACAGAATATCCCTTTTCGTGGAAACCAGAACATTAAAAAAAAATATGCTGCTCAAATGGACGTCCAATGAAGAATAATGCAGGACATGACTAGGTCATACGAAATTGTCACTAATGGATGTCTATGTTCATATTTATGAGTATTTTACTACTAGTTGATCGTCTATATATACTCATGGATGCATAACCCAGACAGCACCATATATTCCATGAATCTCCCTATCATATTCCTTTTGGAATATTGGAATATTCTAGAAATAATCTGGAATATTCCGGAATATCTGTGGAATATTCTCTAAATATGCGAATGGGAATGAATTCCTCAGATAATCATAGAATATACCCAAAAGAATATTCTATGTTGAATGTTCCTGGAATATTTCAATAAACATATTCTAAAATTTAAAAAAGTGACCCAAGTAGGGATCAAACTCGTAACCTCAAGACTATCAGAGCAACGCCTTGACCACTAGGCCAGTAATCGAATTGAATAATGTTATACATATCAAAAGTTTTCGTGAGAGCATTGTTCGAAATCGGATCATAAACACTTTTTGTTTCAAAATCCTCTTACATCTAATTGATGTTCGATACTCATATGTCTGAAATAATAAATGGTATTTATGTGTTGAGAAACAAAGGAATATTCATGGAATATTTCATGAATATTCACCACCGAATATTCAGTTGAGAATATTTCATGAATATACCGCACAGAATATTCAGTTGGGTATATTTCATGAATATACCGCACAGAATATTCAGTTGGGTATATTTCATGAATATACAACAGAGAATATTCAGTTGGGAATATTCCTGGAAGATTCATACCTGAATATTCCCTGAACATGTCCGACTATTCACTTTGGAATATTCCTTTTAGATGTTCCAGTGGCATGTATATATTCTAGGAATGATCGATGAATATTCGGAATATACTCCTCCTTTTTAGCATATTTAGAGAATATTCTATGAATATCCAGTGCTGTCTGGGAAGGTATCAAACTGAATTGTAACTTTCATCCCTGGACATTCACAAGATGTACAATCGGTTGCGGGATAAATTAACACTTTCATAAAGAGTATAATCATATAATTTTGCAGTGAGAAGGTCAAAAATTATGTCAGTGTCTCAGGGCCAAATTTGATGACGCTCCAATGGTGAAAACCGCATAATCATAATATCTACCTTCACCATATTATAGTAACATAGAACTTCCTATAAATGCGCATTTTTTCAATGTCTCTCATCTCTCATCCCAGCTGAACTAGAAGTTGTCGATGCATCCTTCAGTGTTGGTTCACAAACTCGAATGTTTCTTGAAAATGACGTTAATTTTTTAGACCTCAAAATGTTCGACAATTCACTCGCACAGTATTGTTGGTTGCACGCCATTTCCATCAGCATGTCTATATATATAGGTATTATATAGTGGCTATAAAAATGGTGATCGATTCCACCCTACTGTTAATCGCTTAAGGAAAACATTTTGCGATATCAGGCATGAACGAAAAGTTATTTCTATTTATGGATGTTATGTGTTGTTCAGCAAATGTTCGAATATTTCGAGCGGAGACATTCTGGGAAATTTCAATACTCACGAGACATGCAAAAGCTCTATTTGTTACTAACTGCCAATTCTAATAATACTCTAGTGTGTCGATAAAAATTGCTTAAAGTTCGAGATTGACGTGACTACAGTTGTTATTTCCCACTTTTTGAGGTATTTGAATATGCTGTCGCGATATATAGTTTTATCGCTCAATACTTATAAATGAGTTGAAGTACTCACTGAACGTAGACTTCCACATACGTTAACGTATAAGCAACAGCGATTACGGATTGTCCTCAAATATAATTGATGTCATCAGTGTCATCGTACCATAAGTGGCTGGAAATCGTGGGTGGTTTCACATTGATGATTTCTGTTCTCGATTTGAATTTGTCATTTTGTGTTGATTGTTGTAATATGAACATTTATTCGTGTTGAAATTTAACAGTATATACCTTACGAGTGCGAAAGTGATTCTTTTCCGCACGCGATTACAGATGGCCGAACAACGCAAAAAAGTCACTTAACGCGTTAGGTACTTATATACACTATTGTTCCTACTAGCTTGCGGAAAAATTCAAAATTCCCCTTTTCCGCACTCATTTTAGTGTTGAAGATTGTTTTCGTACTATAATGCGGAAGAGTGTCTTCATCAATATTGAATTGAGTGTGGAAAAGCGGAATTCTTCGCACGCTAGTAGAATATAGTAGTGTACCTGAGCGTTGTTCGGCCATCTGCCATCTCGTGCCAGAAAAGTCACCACCCATCTCTATATGCACCTCTGGTAAATAGTATAGTATAAAGACGAAAATCATGATAAATCATGAAATTCATTCATTTCTCAAAGTGATCCAAAGTATTTTCATGATGAGGAAAAACAACCACACTCTATACAGGGTGATTCAAAATTCTCTGTTAATATTCTATGGACGTATTGTTGGGATCCAAATAAGAAATTTTTTCAAGTGAACATGTATCACTAAATGCCCCCTCTTCGAGCTGCAGCCACTGTTAGTTGGGTAGAAAACTAGATTTTCTGAAATTGTGATCATGATAATGCCCAGCAAACATCGAAAGGCGGTAGAAAGCCGGGCCCATGGCGAGAACGGCGGGCAAATGTCGATGTCGGCATGCCTCGACAGGCCCTCCAAATAATTTCTATGGATTGTGTGACGAAGGCAGAATGTAAACATACTTATGATAGGCCTCTGCTTCCCAGCCGCTAGTCTTCCGCTGTATGTATCCAAGTCCAAGGGCCATCAAAATTTCTACGGAGTGTGCCATCATTCACTCACTCAACGTTGGCATCCCTCGCTCGCGTTAGTTTTTATTTTGATCATTCTGCAGTGGTAACAATGATTCAGTATGGCGTATATTAATTTCTTTGTTTATGTTGTTTCATCACTCTCAACAGAGATCTCAGTACTGTGTTCAGTTCGTGTTTGGTTTTCTAGTGGATTTTTATACAAAATGGAAGGGATTTGAAATGTATACAGAGTGAGTGAGGAACAAACATATATACAAACTTGCACAGCTAAATAATTTTCCTATTTCATTAGATAATGATTTTACAAACACCATTGGACAAACAGATGCAATAATAGTTTGGACATGTTCAGCGGATACATAAGAATATAATAATATATGAGGACTTTGAAGATGCATGAGCTTTCATTACATATGAATCATAAATCTATTTCCGAAACGAAAATCAAAGAGTACCTACTTGGAGAAACAGTTATATTTCAAGAATTACTGTAGGTATGTATGAGGTTGCATGTCTTGGATAAGTAGAGAATGAAATCATTTAATCTTTCAGCTACAAAATCAACAACCAGAAGCCTATTAATCACAGATATGAATGAATGTAATGTTGGATATAGAGTTAGCAACTTTTTGAAACAAGTGGAAAAACAAATATCTTTCCTGCATGATGAAACACAAATACCTATTATTGGAATTGTAGGTACCTTTTCCTAATGAGTATACAGAGTGATACATATAATTAAGATGTTTGATGGTTCCATAGCTGTGATATGTATTGGTTGTGATTATGGCAATAATATACACACATGGATATTTTCAGTTCTTGTTTTTGTATGGGGTATTTATACTGCTAGT